AAAAAAAAAAAAGATATTGAGGGCATAGAGTGGGAAAAAAAGGAACAGCATGAATATAACTTATGAATGTCGATGCATAAATATCATATACATATATACATATGCTCACATATGTACATATATGCATAAAACAATGTGTAGAAGTTCAAAATGTTCGTTTGTTTGTTTCCCTGAGACGGAAGTCTTGCTCTGTTGCACAGGCTGGAGTGCAATGGCATGATCTCAGCTCAGGGCAACCTCCACCTCCCAGGTTTAAGCAATTCTCCTGCCTCAGCCTCCCAAGTAGCTGGGATTACAGGCATGCACCACCACACCCAGCTAATTTTTATATTTTTAGTATAGACAGGGTTTCACCATGTTTGCCAGGCAGGTCTCGAACTCCTGACCTCAGGGGATTCACCTGCCTCAAAGTGGATTCCCAGCCCACTTCCAAAGTGCTAGGATTACAGGCATAAGCCACCAAATGAATCTCTACTTTGACTTTCTTCTTTGTATTTCTCTTTATTATTTAAATTGTTCACACTGAGCCTCTTTTAAAAATATCAAAATTATTCAAAAGTAAATTGCTCAAATAAAAAACTGAATACACTAAATTACTAATGTAACCAGGTTATATTAAATTCTAACACTACAACCGAAACTGCTGAACTAAAAAATCGACCTTGTAGACATCCTATTACAAAATTCTTAAACAGCTGATAAAGTCAAAATGCTGAGACCTTTTTTTTCTCCTTCTTAAGATAAAGAACCTTATTCTTGTGGTTCTGAAAGACATCAGATTCAGCTATTTAGTCATGTGAAAATTTAACTTCCTCAATTTAATTCCCTAAGGCAACTCTAGCTAAATAAAATAACTTGGAGGATTACTCCTTGTTAATTCATAATTTATGTTCTCTTTAAAATAAATGGGGTGACATCTGGAAAGAGAAAAAGTAATAAATTAATGCTTTGGTCTATTAAAATATTTTATTTATATTTGTGTGAGATAAGCCAAGGAAAAGCAAGACAAATAGTACTTTTAGTTTTAGTTTAACTGCAAATGAGCAAAAGAAAAACACAAATGAGGAAACCGCAATGATCTTTAAAAGTCTCTATTATACATTCAGCATTTCTCAATAACTTAAAAAAAAAAAAAGAGTAAAAGTCTCACTAAAAAATTCTAAAATTACCCTTACCTACAAACTCCCTTTCCAAAAGCTTCCCTGGTTTTGTTAAAAAATAAAAATTAAAAAAAAAATTAAAATGCATGTGTCTATAAAGCATAAAGAAAAGTAATAACTTAGCCATTATCGAGTATATTTCAATTCCTGCAGCAGTTAAAATACCTGGTTTCACTGCCCCAGTGATCAACTGATATGCCAAAATTCTTGTTTATTCCATGTGGGGTCATCAGATTCTCAGTCTAGAAAAGCATCAAAATAATATACTCCACAATTTCCAAATTATTTTTAGAAGGTGCTTATGAATTATTTCTTTAAAACTAACAGAAATTATTAAATCTTCTTTTCTTTCTTTTTTTTTTTTTTAAAGAGGTCTCCCTCTGTTGCCTATGCTAGAGTGTGCAGTGGCGCAATCATAGTTCACCGCAGATTTAAACTCCTGCATTCCAGCAATCCTCCCACCTCAGCCTCCCAAGTAGCTGGGACTACAGGCAACCATCACCATCCCTGGCTTAGAGAAACTACTAAATCTTTTTTCAAGCAGATGTTCTTTACTAACACATACTACAGCCAACTTATCATCCACCATCTTCATATTTCTGTTCATTGTTAACATTCTAACAAATGTTCTTCTTAGAGATAAGATCAAGGCTTCTAACAAATCCATTTTAATAATGGCATTAAAGAGGAGAAAATTCTGTTTTATCGTATCTCAATAAACAAAGATAAAGCTAACAGATGAAGTTGATTCCTAAACTTTTCTGTTAATGATACAAAAAGCAGAGCGAAGACTAAGCAGAATTCTTTTGGAGAGCAGAGCTACAGCATTTGATATGAAAATCATCGATTGAGACCCAGAAGTCATTTTTAGAGAGTCACTTTTCTAACCAATAACCATGAATTAAGAGAGTCAAAAACTTGTAAACTGACAAATGTAAAGAGTACTCAAATCAATGTACCCAAAGGGCAGGTGAAGGTAATCAGCCTCTTCCATCTAGCAATAAGTAGACTACTTTATCCACTGAGGATTTAAGGCCAAGTAAATGCTCCTGGCAGAACTTTAGGGACTAATAAGTCTATGGAATACATCTCAGTCACATCGTACAATGGGTAAAAACACTGCAGACCTCTGGAATTTGTGTATGCTCAGGCATCTTCCCCAAATAGTATTCTGCTGCTAGATGAAATACAGATATTGATTTAGAATTTCTGATGCGCTTTTAGCTGTATCATCAAATACAATGAACTGAGAAGTCTACTCTAGTTTTTTATCTATTGTATGTAACCTTTTCTACCTGCTTGCATTTTTAGTAACAAATATCAATCCTTTATCTGATCTTGAAGGTCTCTAATACAATGGGCTATCATCTCTGCTCTCATTTCTTCTCTCCCTCTTCTTTGTTTACCAAAACATCAATTATTGTATCCATTTGTATTCCTTCTCTTCACCTATACCTGCCAACCTTCTATCTTCATGCACTGAACTTGTACTCTATAAACATTCCATTTGTAATTCTTTTCCTTATCTTCTTAAAAAGTAACAAATATGAAAGGGAGAACAATGATAATAATATTTATGTGCAACGTCCCCTTTCAGAGTTAAGGGGTAGGCAAGGTAGATGGCAGTAAGAGATAAAGACAAAAAGACTCAAAAAAGGAACAGCAACACAATAAAGGCAGGACGTGCAGTTTCAGAAAATGGCTTTGAAAAGAAGAATAAAGGACTGATAGCAGAAAGACTTGTAAGATAGTTTTGCCTCAAGAAAAATCTTATAAACATTCTTAGGACTCCTCAGGATCACATCCTCCAATAAAAAACACTAAATTAATGCACAGCTACGTTATAATGATGACTTAAATAAAATTCCAATGCATTCTTCTCTTAAATCTAAGTAAAATATATATGAGAAACTAGGTATTGAGAAGACACACATTTATAATCACACATGACTTCTACCAAGTTCCTCACACATGGCTTGCGGCAAAAACCTCCACCTGTGCAGCATTGCATATTACATGTTCACAGATTGTACAAAGTCATCATCATAACCAACCTAAATAAGACGTAAGGAGTTAAAATGACCTCAATTATCTACTTGAAGACCAAAATAAGAATTATTAATGACATCTAGGCTGTTTTAAGATAGCCTTAAGCCTTGATCTTATCTCTAAGAAGAACATAATATTTACTGCACAGTTGTTTGATAAATAAATTTTTTAATTATGTTAGGTTCTTAGTAACCTCTAAGTCAAAGGTAACTATGAATACTTGGAGCCTCCATATTTATTTCAAAATGCAACTTTACAAGCTATAGATAGCTATAGACTGCTATCTCTATATAAGAGGTAACACAGTGAGTAAAATTATTTAATCAACAAAGTATAATTAACCCCTATAAGAACTGAAGAATTTAAGAATCTCAGGACTGAAAGAGAATTTACAAAGCATCTAATAACTAGTACTTTTTTTGGTTTTTTGGTGGTTTGTGTTTTTTGGATTTTAGGGGAGATTTTTTTTCTTCGGTTTTTACTTGTTTGTTTTTTGAGACAAGGTCTTGCTCTGTTGCCCAAGCTAGAGGGCAGTGCCACAATCTCAGCTCACTGTAGCTTCAACCTCCTGGGCTCAAGTAATCCTCCCACCTCAGTTCCCTAGTAGCTGGGACTACACGCCTGGCTACTTTTTTGTATTTTTTATAGACATGGGGCTTTTCTATGTTGCTCAGGCTGATCTCAAACTCCTGACCTCAGGTCATCCACCTGCCTCAGCCTCCCAAAGTTCTAGGATTACAGGCAAAGGCCACCGTGCCTAGCACTAGTAAGTATTAACAGTAGTTCTTGACCATTGTGTCACACGACACAACCTATCACTAATATTTCCTAATCAATAGTACTTGGGTGGAGAGGAGTAGTGAAAGAAAATGTGTAAATTTAAAAGAATGAAAAAAGTATCACTACCATCGTGAGAGTTCTGATTTGCTCTCTGGTTCAGACTCACTAATAATCAACTACTAAATGGGTTAAACCACCCATACAGTAACGAGATCTCCTTTACAACAACATTCTTGCCAGCTGCAGTCCCTCAGCCTCTGATGGAACACTTCTAGAAAAATACTAAATGAATATTGCACTAAATTCAAAATATGCTATAAATGTAAAAGCCCAAAAATGTTTTAAACTGTTTATTTTCATATCTGTTCTAGAACATCCATAGCTGTTGTAGAGTATCCATAGGAACTACAGGATTATCTGCTAATTTTAAACAACTAGACTTGCTAAAATGATACTATGTGGAACCAAATTTCTGTCTACACATTATTTTCACTAACTGTTCCTGGTTGTAACCTCTGAAACAAATCCTTCCATTTGACAGCCCATCTGATATTTAAAGACATACCTCCTAACCTCCCTAGCTCCCAGTCTTCTCTTTTCTACATTAAATATCCCAGTTCCTTCAACTGATCAGAAGACTGTCTATGTGTGGTAATGAGAACCTCAATCAGGTTACTGGTAAAAGGATTAGAAATGAGTAGATAAAAGCAGCTAGTTGACATGGTAGACCTAGCAACGTCATACAAATATATGAATGTGTATATGCCCACATACAAGAGAGGAGACTAAAGTGACTCTGAGATTTCAGGTCTAATGTTTAGGAGGAAAATGATTCCACTAACCAAAACGGGGAACCCAAGTAGAGAAGACTAAGGTGAAGATAGGAAATTCAGTTTGAGATACAGTGACTTTGAGGTGTGTAATAAGTAAATATAAATGCTATCGTGGTGCCTTTAAGAGGTGACTGGGTAATGGGGGTTCTGCCCTCATGAATAAATTAATTCACTTATGGATTTTGGATTATCACAGGAGTGGGTTATCACAGGAGTGGGACTGGAGCCTTTATAAGAAGAGAAAGTGAGACTTGAGCTAGTGTGCTTAGCTCTGTCACCATGTGATGCCCTGCACCACCTCAGGACTCTGCAGAGCCCCAACTAGCAAGAAGGCCCTCACCAGATACAGCTCCTCAACCTTGGACTTTTCAGCTTTCATAACTATAAGGAATAAATTCCTTTTCTTTATAAATTACCCAGTTTCAGGTATTCTGTTATAAGCAATGGAAGACAGACTATAACAAAGGATAAGACCTTTTCCAAGACCCATTATATTAGTTACTCTTGCCAAGAAAAAGGTGCATCTATATTATGGAAGCTAGTACTACATGTAATTTAAACACAAAACATCACATTTTTTCATCAAGTATGAGTGGTTACTCCTACAAGGCACGGAGGGAGATACAATGAGCCATGAAACCCAGTTCCTGCCCTCATTAATCTTACATTCTAATAAACAAGATGCTTATAGCTAACCATAAGACTGAATGTGGATATTATCTTACCATAGTGATATAAAGTATCACAACTATTAAGAGACATATTTCTCCCTTTCCAATGAGAATATTCACACACGAATAATACCAAAGGGTAAAATACCATCACAACAAGCATTCTTCAAATACAAAGAAGAAGGACTTAATGAAAAACATAAATCTTTCTATTCTGGTTATAAATACAGGAAAACATTAGAGCTATCACTTGGGAATTAAAGTACCCCCAACAATTATGTCCATTGTTAAAGATTAATGCTTGAATTGTATCATCAGTTAAAAGAAGAGCATTGTTTAAAATGTTCACAAACACAATTGTTTTGGCTTACAAATGGAATCACTTGATGTCACTTTTGTCATTCCTAATTTCAAATAATATTATATCAATTGAAAAATAGAGCTACAAGCTTAGAGCCTTACAAGTCTTAAATTGAATATTCTCCAGCTGATATAACTGTTATAGAGTTCCTTATAGCTATATATTATGACAAAGTTTTAAATTATGTCACTTTAGTAGTTTTACAGATAACCGATTTTACAGAGTCTATTAAAAAGTAATTTAGTAGGACCCTAACTATATTTTACATTCATAACATAATCATAGAGAAAAAATAATTCAAATAACTTTGAACACCTATTTTGACTACATATACCTTTAGTGGGATATATTCTAAGAACACTAAATAGCAAAGAAATCTTTACTTGGCCAATCTGTTGTTGGAAGCAGTATCAGTCAGTCCAGTAATTCCAAAACTATTTTATGTGTGTTGTAAGATAGGTTAGATGAATAAAAATTGTGATATAAATGAGAATCAGAATTCTCTCTTTGAGAAAACAGAGGTATAAACAGGAATTGGAAGGAAGTGA